TATGTTATCTATCAATAATTACTTTGAATGTAAATGGACTAAATGCTCCCATCAAAAGATAAAGGGTGACAGAGTGGATAAAAACACAAGACCCATCTATATGCTACCCACAAGAGACTCATTTTATTTTTTAAAAGATTTTATTTATTCTTGCGAGAGAGAGAGAGAGAATTTGCAGTGGGAAGGGGCAGAGTGAGAAGCAGACTCCCCATCGAGCAGGGAGTCCAATGCAGGACTCAGTCCCAGGACCCTGGGATCATGACCTCAGCCAAAGGCAAACACTAAACCTACTGAGCCATCCATGCGCTCCATATAAGAAACTCATTTTAGACACCTGCAGATTGAGAATGAGGGGATGGAAAAACATCTATCACAGAAGTGCATGTCAAAAAAAAAAAAAAAAAAGCAGGAGTAGTAATACTTATATTGGACAAAATTTACTTTAAAACAAAGACTGTAACAAAAGATAAAAAAGGACACTATACCATAATAAAGGTAACATTCCATCAAGATATAACAATTATAAATATTTAGGCACCCAACATAGAACACCCAAATACATAAAACAGTTAATAACAAACATATAATAATGCTATTAGGGGACTTTAACACCTCACTTACATCAATGGATAGATCATGTAAACAGAAATCAACAAGAAAACAGTGGGTTTGAATGACACTCCAACAGATAGATTTAACAAACATATTCAGAACATTCTATTCTAAAACACCAAAATACACATTCTTCTCAAGTGCACACAGAACATTCTCCAGAACAGGTCACCTATTAGCCCACAAACCTACCTCAATGAATTCAAGAAGATGGAAATCAGGGGCACCTGCGTGGCTCAGTCGGTTAAGCATCTGCCTTTAGCTTCGGTCATGATCTCATGTCCTGGTATTAAGCCCTGTGTGGTGGGCTCCCTGCTCAGCAGAGAGTCTGCTTCTCCCTCTTCTCTGCCCCTTCCCACCCATGCTTGTGCTCACTTTCTCTCTCTCGTCTCTCAAATAAATAAAATCTTAAAAACAGAAATCGAAATCATACCATGCATATCTTCTGACCACAATGCTATGAAACGACAAGTCAACCACAAGAAAAAAATCTGGAAGGACCACACACACACACACACACGGAAGTTAAATAATATGCTATTAAACAATGAATAGGTCAACCAGGAAATCAAACAAGAAATCAAAAAAGTATGCAAAAACAAATGAAAATGAAAATACAATGGTCCAAAACCTCTGGGATACAGCAAAAGTGGTTCTAAGATGGAAGTTTATAGCAAAACAGGCCTACCTCAAGAAGAAAAATCTCAAACAACCTAACTTGACACCTAAATGAGACTGGAAAAGAATAACAAACAAAGCCTAAGAGCAGCAGAAGGAAGAAAATAATAAACCCTAGAGCAGAAATAAATGATATAGACACCAAAACAACAACAACAACAACAACAACAAACAATAAAGCAATTCAATAAAACCAGGAGCTGGTGCTTTGAAAAAAAAATCAATAAAATTGACAAGCCTCTGGCCAGACTTATCAGGAAAAAAAGAAAAAGAATTCAAATAAATCAAAAATGAGAGAAAAGAAATAACACCACAGAAATACAAACAATCATAAGAAAATATTATGAAAAACTATATGCCAACAAATTGGACAACCTAGAAGAAAATGGATAAATTCCTAGAACATATAAACTCCTAAAACGGAAACAGGGAGAAATAGAAAATCTGAACAGACCAATAACGAGCGAAGAAACTGAATGCTAAAAACACTCCCCAGAAGTACAGGGCCAGAGGGTTTCATAGGTGAATTCTACCAAACATTTAAAGAGTTAATACTTACTCTTCTCAAACAACAGAAAGAGAAGGAAAATTTCCAAATTCATTCCTTAAAGCGAGTAGTACTCTGATATCAAAACCAGATAAAGACATAACTAAAAAAGAGACATACAGGCCAATGTCCTGGATGAACATAGATGCAAAAATCCTCAAATAAATACTAGCAAACCAAATCCAACAATACATTTAAAAAAAAAAATCCCCCAAAACAATCCTGTTTCCAATTGCACTAAAAATAATAAGATACCTAGGAATAAACCTAGCCAACAAGGTGAAAAACTAGTACTCAGAAAACAATAAAACACTGATGAAAGAGGGGTGCCTGGGTGGCTCAGTCGGTTCAGTGTGTGACTCTTGATTTCGGCCCCAGTCATGATTTCGGGGTCCTGGGATTAAGCACCGGGTAGGACTCTGTGCCCAGCAGGGACTTGGCTTGAGGATTCTCCCTCTCCCTCTGCCCCTGCCCCAGCTTGCAGGCTCTCTCTCTCTTTAAAAACAAAAACAAAAACAAAAACAAAAACAAAAACAAAAACAAAAACACTGATGAAAGAAGTTGAAGACAATGCATATGGGAAAACATTCCATTCTCATGGACTGGAAGAACAAATATCGTTAAAACTGTCTATGCTACCCAAAGCAATCTACACATTTAATATAATTCTGATCAAAATATGAACAGTATTTTTCACAGAACTGTGAACAAACAATTTGTGCCGTACCACAAAGACCCCAAACAGCCAAAGCAGGTTTGAAAAAGAAAAGCAGAGCTAGAGGCATCATAATTCTGGACTTCAAGTTATATTATCAAACTGTAGTAATCAAAACAGTATGATGCTGGCACGAAAAAAGACAGAGAGATCAATAGAAATGGAATAGGAAACCCAAAAATAAACCCACAACTATATGGTCCCTCTTTGACAAAGCAGGAAATATTACATCCAATGTGAAAAAGACAGTCTCTTCAACAAATGGTGTTGGGAAAACTGGACAGTGACATGCAAAAGAAAAAAAACGGAACCACTTTCTTATACTGTACACAAAAATAAATTAAAAATGGACTAAGGACCTAAATGTGAGACCTGAAGCTATAAAAATCCTAGAAAAGAACACAGGCAGTAACTTCTTTGACATTAGCCAAAGCAACTTTTTTCTAGATATGTCTCCTGAAGGGAAACAAAAGCAAAAATAAACTTTTGTGTTGTGACTATATAAAAATAAAAAACTTCTGCACAGCAAAGAAAACAACTAAAAGACAAGCTACAGAATGGGAGAAAGTATTTGCAAATAACATATCTGATAAAAGGTTAGTATCCCAAATATAGAAAGCATTTATCAAATTCAATATCCAAAAATCAAATAATACAATTATAAAATGAGTAAAAGATGTTTTTCCAAAGAAAACATACAGGTGGCCAACAGACACATGAAAAGATCCTCATCATCACTTGCCATCAGGGAAATGCAAATCAAAACTACAATGAGATACCATCTCACACCAGTCAGAATGGCTAAAATCAACAACAGAAACAACAGGTGGTGTTGTTTGGCAAGGATATGGAGAAAAAGGAACCCCTTTGCACTGTTAGTGGGAATGCAAAACAGTGCCACTGTGGAAGACAGTTCGGAGGTTCCTCAAAAAGATAAAAATAGAACTAGCCTATAAACCAGCAATCACACTATTGGGTATTTACCCAAAGAATACAAAAACAATAATTCAAAGGGATACACACATTTATATAATAGCATTTATATAATAGCATTATTTACAATAGCCAAGATAAGGAAGCAGCCCAAGTTTCCATCTATAGATAAAAGGATAAACAAGATGTGGCATATACATACAATGGAATATTAGCCATAAAAAAAGAATGAAATCTTCCCATTTGCAAGGACATGGATGGAGTTAGAGTGTATTATGCTTAAGTGAAATAAGTCAGAGAAAGACAAATATCATACAATTTCATTCATATGTGGAATTTAAGAAACAAAACAAATGATCAAAGGGAGAAGAAAAGAGAGAGACAAATCAAGAAACAGATTCTTAATTATAGAGAAAAAAACTGATGATTACCAGAGAGGAAGGGATGGGTTAAATAGATGATGGGGATTAAGGAGTGCATTTGTGATGAGCACAGGGTAATGTATGAAAGTGTTAAATTACTAAATTGTACACCTGAAACTGATATAGCACTGTACGTTAACTAAAAGCTTAGGGGCACCTGGGTGGCTCAGTTGATTAAGTGTCCAACTCTTGATCTCAGCTCAAGTCATGAACTCAGGGTTGTGAGATCGAGAGCCATGTACTTAAGATTCTCTCTTCCTCTGCTCCCTCTCCACCCCACCTCCCCACACCCCCACAAAAGAGCAGTGCTGGTCCTTGCCAACCTCTCTCCCTTGATCTCCTGTGCACCAGCCACAGGGACCTGCTTTATGCTCTTGGAAAATTTAATCCTTATAATTTCAAAGCCTTTACACAGGTTGAAAGCCCACTTCCCAGATCCCATCTACCTGGTTAACAACTTCTCCTAATCTCTTTGGGAAAAACCTTTAACCTCCAGACTAGGTCAAGCTTCCTGACAATGCTGTTTGCCTCTCTCTCACAGAGCTAAATCTGCTTGTTAATTATACTCAAAACGATCTACACTATGTCTTAGTAACATTAAGAGATAAGGAACTGGTTTTTGATTATCACTGAATCCCCAGGAATCAACACCAATCACAATGCCTGGTTCCATTTTAGGAACTTAAAACTTGTACTGAATAAATAAATACAAATTCAGAGGAGGCGTTGGGGAAGCAGTAGCTATTAATCTGGTTAGTACTTCTCAGTAACACTTACCCACATTCTGCCCAGCATGCTTATTAATATTAAATTTTTCCTTCCTTGCTGGATTTTTAGCTCTGTTGCATACAACTCTGAAGTTCCACTGCCTCCAAATGATAGTGGGGCTCAGAGGAGATGCTCCAGGCTGGGGAAATGGTATGGAATTGAAGGGAATGCCAGAATAGAAAGAGAGAGAAGGGTGAACTCTACCCTAAAGGCAGCTGTGGCCTGAGGTAAGAACAAGTTTCCTGCCTTAATTTTTCCTTCTTAGGGCCGTTGGGAGTTGAGCTCTCTTTGTGGGGATGTGAGGATTCAAAAGGGCAACACTTACTTGTTCCCATGAAGAAATCATATGACGTTCAGCAGGTGGTTTCTCTATGATAGTCACCTCTGTCACACCTGGGGAAGATTCTGGAAGAGGAAAAGAAAGTCTGTAGAGTTGCAATGGAAGTGCTCTCACATATTTCAATACTAGAGGCGGATTGTTGGAGAGTACCTAGGAATATCAGATTCCTTTGAGTAGCATTTATTACCCCTGTGATAAAAAACAGGGAGAACTGTCAGTCCTTCAAAGGCACTCAGTCCCACAACCTAGGACCACACAATCAACGTGGTAGAAAGAACATCAGAACACCTACTACACTCAGTCTCTGCTCGGTACTTCAACTGTTGAACAAAAATCAGAGATTCTACATTCCTAGTGATTTTGTAACTCAACTTCTCACTTACGACATGGTCAGAAGGAATAAAGAATAGCACCTCAATAAACTTTTACAAGATACAAAACTTATTTCCTAGTTTTTCTTCTAAATAAAACCCATCTGTACTCTATGGGATCCCAGATGTATAGTATAGGCTAACACTATGAAAACTGGATTCCATCCAGAAATATAGTGAAAACAAAATAAATCATTTCTCTAAAGTCTTGAAAGCAGAAAAAGGTCTCCTAATAACCTCTTTGTGGAGCTATGCTCTAGCATTCATTCTGAGGTAAAAAAGAAGCCACCTGACTTGGAATTCAACAGATTTTAATACCTCCTCCTACATTCTCCAGTTGTCTGTTTACCCACACTCAGGATTTTAAAATCCTTAATCTAAGACATAAACTTGGCTATGGGTTGAACTGTGTCCTTCAAAAAATATACGTTGATGTCCTAACTGCCATTCCTCAGAATATGACTTGATTTGGAAAGAAGGTCACTGAACATAGAATTCACTAAGATGAGGTCACAGTGGAGTAGGGTGGCCCCAAATTCAATATGACCAGTGTCCTTATGAAAAGAATGCTTTGTGGAGAGACAGAGGGAAGAGGGCCACATGAAGATGGAGAAGTGGAGTAACAGATCTGTGATACAAGGAATGTTAAAGACTGCTGGCAAACCACTAGAAGTTAGAAAAGAGGCGAGGCAGGTTCTTCTCTTCCAGGTTTCAGAATAAGAGTGACACGGCCAACCCTTTGGTCTGAGGCTTTTGGCCTCTAGGACTGTGAGAATAAGTCTGCTGTTCTAAGGCACCTGGTTTGTGTTATATTCTATGGAGAACTAGCACAAAGCTTATCACTTTTCTCCCTGAGATACCGCATAGATTATTCCCATTGTCACCACTGTTTTAGGCCATGGTCACTGCAAGTGTAGGTGCGATCAAAGCCAGGAACTCTCTGTGCTCGGATCCATCCTCAGCCAGACCCAGGCTTGCTTCCTATCCGATCTAGTGGGTTTTCCTTGTGGTCTGGAGGATAAGGCCCTTCTCTGTCTGGTCTTAAGTTCTTCCACCCTGTAGTCCAAACCCTCTGTTCCAGGTGTGTCAGTTTCCTCATTGTCTCCACCTCTGGGCCCTCCCTCCAGAACGAAATCTGTACTTACCTTTGACTATGCTGTATTCCTTTCCCATTATACACACCCAAACGTGTCCACCTACTCAAGCCCTACCCATACTTCAAGGTTATGCTAAGGTTCCACCGACTTCATGAAACCATTTCAGATGACTCTAGCTCACCATGATCTCTGCTTCTGCCAATATCTGAACCCATCACATGCAAGCCTGGGGCCACATATGTTTATGCTTTTTTTTTTTTAAAGATTGTATTTGAGAGGGAGAAAGACAGAGAGGGACCACATGCACAAGCAGGGGGAAGGGCAGAGGGAGAAGCAGACTCCTCACTGAAGAGGGAGCCCGATGTGGGACTCCATCCCGGACCTGTCCCAGGACCCTGGGATCATGACCTGAGCCAAAGGCAGACGGTTAACTGACTGAGCCACCAAGGTGGCTTTTTAAAAATATTTATTTAAGAGAGAGACAGAGAGTGAGTGAGAGAGCGCACATATGTTTATACTTAATTACATTCTATTTTGAACCATACTTTGGTTATTTACGATAATACTGTAAACAGATAATGTATTGAAAAGAATTTTTAAAATCTCTAAGGATAAGGCAGACACTTCTCATCCAGTTTAATGTATAAAATGGTTCCTGAACCCAACCCTCCAATACTTTTGTGAGGAGGCATCCCCATGGCCACAAGCAGTTCTCAGATATCCTGGGGTCCTACAAGGAAACAGCATCAGTCTAGAAGACTGCCACCCTCCCCACTTCAGATACCAGGGATGAGTCCAGTTTTATACCTCTGCTTCTCACCGACCTGCTACAGACTGGGGCTTCTCAAGACCCCCTCTCTCCTTGTACTTCAGACACCAGTCAACAGCCCAATCACCTATACTTCTCACTGACTGGCTGTAAGTCAGGAGGTTCCTAATACCCCCTCCTCAGGTTCCATTAATTTGCCAGAGGGGCTCACAGAATTCAGAGAAATATTTTACTTACTAGATTACTGGTTTATTATAAAAGAATATAACCTAGGAACAGCCAGATGGAAGAGATGCTTAGGACAAGGTATGTGGGAAGGGGCATGGAGCTTCCTTTCCCTCTCTAGGCAGGCTACTTTCCCCACATCTCCATTTGTTTACCAACCTGGAAGTTTCTGGGTTTTTATGAAGGCTTCGTTACATAGACACAATCAATTAAATCATCAGCCAGTGAGGACTGATTCAACCTTCAGACCCTCTTCCCTTCCCAAAGGTCAGGGAATGGGACTAAAAATACCAATCCTCTCATCACATGGTTGGATCTTGGGGCAATCAGCCCTCATCCTTTAGTGCTTTCCGAAACTCACCTCATTAACGTAATGAAAGATCTTTACCACTCTCAAAGCTTGGGAAATTCCAGGGTTTGGGGAGCTGTAAGTAAGGAACTGCAGACTAAGACAAAATACACAGTTTTTGTCCTGAACATCCATGCCCTGAACGACATGGGTTTGAACTGCATGGGTCCACTTGAACACCTATTTTTTTCAATACAGTACCATTAAATATATTTTTTTCTTAAGATTTTCTTAATGACATTTTCTTATAGAAAACATAAAACATACAAAATAATGTGTTAATCACCTTGGCTATTGGTAAGATTTCCAGTCGACTGTAAGCTATTAGTTAATATACAGATTCTCTACTGCAATGTTGGTGTGGGGATGGGGAGAGCAATCAGCAGCTTAATCAAGCTTTGTCAAGGGTCAGCTGTCATCTGAGTGAGCAAATATATATTTCTTATAAATCAGAATATCACAGTGTGGTTCACTGATTCTATAATCATGTTAGTGTCCTTTCTATGCATCATAAATTTCCTCCAAGTTGTCACAAAGTTCCGATCCTGAGACACAGCAACATCCCAATACAGGAGTTTAAGAATTCTGAACTCCACATATTCTACTCTTGCTTTAGGCGTTCACTAGTGTGACTGTTAGATGAGTCTTCACCTTTCTTACCATTCAGAGAGACAATAATTATAATATTTGCCTTGAAAAGTGAAACAGAAGCAGCAAAGGTAAAGGTGCTCTAGAAGAGCAAAAAGTACCATATACGTAATTTTTTTTTCTGCCTTCTGTTCAATGTCCTTTTAAAGATATTGGGAACCATGGTACTATGGTGGAAAAATACCATGTGCTTCAAGCCGTTAGACCTGGGCTAAGCCCTTGCTATGCCCTTGACTAATTAGGATGGAAGATGCTGTCCATCCCTTCAGAGGTGGTGACGTTTGGCAACGCTCCACCAAAGCTAAGACAGTGAATAGGAAATGTTATTACTCACATTTTATAGCAAGGACATTGAGGCTGAGAGACTAGGCCATGCCAAGGGGTGAGGCTTACTCCAAGTATGGGTCTAGTTAAGAGTTTATGTGCAATAGTCTCTGTGTGCCTCTCAGCAAAGCCCCTTAGCAATTACCCTATGGAAATGCAGAGCCTAGCTTCAATCAGTCTCAGCAGCCTACTATTCCAACTTTTGTAGGACAGAATAATACAGAATTCTTTGTTAACAACCCAGCTGGTTGCATAATGATGTCATCTGACTACACCCACAGGGTAGTCTAGTGTCTAGGGTTGCTGGAGGACACACACTTAATATAAGTACCTGACATGAAACTTTTGATTGCCAACCCTTCCATTTCAAATACATCCATCTTAAATAAATTGCCAGCTGTATGACACAACTACTAGCTCAACAACTAGGAACCAGGACACCCCACCCGGTGAAGTTTCTTCCTCGTTTCTTTTTTCTTTTTTCTTTTCTTTTCTTCCTTCCTTCCATTCATTCATTCATTCATTCATTCATTCATCTGACACAGAGAGACAGCGAGAGAGGGAAAACAAGCAGGGGAAGAGGGAGAGGGAGAAGCAGGCTTTCCGCAGAGCAGGGAGCCTGATGCGGGGCTTGATCCCAGGGTCCTGGATCATGACCTGAGCTGAAGATAGACGCTTAACAACTAAGCCACCCAGGCACCCCATGAAGTTCCCACTTTTAAAAGCCCTTGGTAACCCAGAGAACTGATGGCTTGACTCACTGTGCTTTTCCTTCCCACACCTGAATTCCCACATTTAAGTTTTAGAGATTTTATTTATTTATTTGTCAGAGAGAGAGAGTGTGTGCACACAAGCAAGGGGAGTGGCAGGCAGAGGGAAAACCAGGTTCCCTGCTGAGCAAGGATCCCAATGTAGGACTGGATCCCAGGACTCTGGGATCATGACCTGAGTCAAAGGCAGATGCCTTATAAAACTTTATACTCCAAAACCCAAATAATCCAATTATAAAATGGGCAGAAGACATGAAGAGACATTTCTCCAAAGAAGACATACAGATAGCTAACAGACACATGAAAAGATGCTCATCATCACTTATCATCAGGGAAACACAAATCAAAATTACAATGAGATATCAATTCAGTCCTGTCACAATGGCTAAAATAAAAAAACACAAGAAAAAACAAGTGTCGGTGAAGACATGAAGAAAAAGGAACTCTCTTGCTCTGTTGGTAGGAATGCAAACCAGTGCAGACACTATGGAAAACATTACAGAGGTTCCTCAAAAAATTAAAAATAGAACTACCCCACAACCCAGTAATCACACTACTGGGTATTTACCCAAAGAATTCAAAAACACTAATTCAAATGGATACATGCACTCCTATGTTTACTGCAGCATTATTTACAACAGTTAAACTATGGAAGCAGCCCAAGCATCCACTGACTGATGAATGGATAAAGTTGTGGTATACAAACACAATGGAATATTATTCAACCCTTAAAAATGAAATGTGGCCATTTTCAACAACATGGACAGGGCTGGAGAGTATCATGATAAGTGAAATCAGTCAAAGAAAGACAAATACCATATGATCTCACTCATATATGGAATTTAAGAACAAAAGAGTGAAGGAAAGAAAAAAGGACAAACCTAGAAACAGACTCTTAACTACAGAGAACTGATGGGGAGGTAGGTGGGTTAATGGGGGAAATAGAGGATAAGGATCAAAGAATACACTCACCATGATGAAAAATTGACTTAAAAAAAAAGAATTTTATTTTTAAAAAGGAGAGAAGTCTAAGATGGAGACAGATATTATACAGTTGAACCTTGAATAATGCAGGGGTTGAAAATGAAGTTGAAAATCCATGTATAACTTTTGACTCTCCAAAAACCTACTGGGAAACCTTACTGATAACATAAACAGTTGATTAACACATATTTTGTATGTTGTATTTATTATATACTGTGTTCTTACAATAAACTAGAAAAAAGAAAATGTTAAGAAAATCATAAGAGAAAATACATTTATACCACTGTACTATAAAAAAATCCATGTCTAAATGAACCCACAGTTCAAACTTGTGTTGTTCAAAGGTTAACTGAAATTGATCTTGTTGCATCTCAGGTAGATCTTACACACTATATTTAATCATCTGTTACCAAAATGTAACATTTCCTTACTCCTTGTTCCACTGAGAGGAAAACACTTCATTAACATAAAAAATTTTTTCCTCAGTTGATTGTTCAGCATTTCATTTTCTGATTTTAGCATGAGTTCTCTATAGGTTCTACTTTGCTCTTGTTCATCTTGTGAAATCGTGGTGTTTAATAAGATCTCTACTTTAATGACACCCTTTCCAGTCAGTTGAGGCAAAGTCCAGATATTTTAGCAGGTTTTTTGTGTAGGGGAGAGAAATGTGAGCTTTCCTTTTTCTTTGCCCTTTTATCATCAATGTCAAAGGACTCTTCCTTCTTTTTTGCACATTTTCTCCTCTGGAATGTATGTCCCTTTAAATTGCATGGCCAACCCTTTAAACAGTACCTACTTTGAAGTCACTTTCCTGCAGCCCTGCTCTGATCTACCCAGTGTTCGGTACTGTTGTACTTTCAGACTGGAGGGGTTTTAAGCTTTCTGTTGCTTCAACTAGCCTCTTTGCTGGCATCATTTCTGGCTCTGCCTTTGCTTGCCACAGAGCCTTCTAGCAGTGAAGGAGTGGAGCAGGCACAATGCTGGGATGTGTAGTTTTTTCTCTTTTTACTCATAGTTATTTTGCACTTCTGGCATTCTCTGTATTTTAAGTAGTGTTGGGCTTGGTTTTCGATAGAATTGTCATAGTTATGGAGTTATTTCACGCATCATTTAGAGAGGAGATTTTTGATATAGTAGTTTGCTTACCACACACCCACCACTGACTTCAGCCACCTTGTTTTTAAAAATCCTCTATGTATATTTTCAAAACAAAAATCAAATGTGAAAAAAATATATAACTGATTTTTGACTTATGATTATTAACTTGAAATTATGAGGTTTTGATTAAATTTATAAGTAATATTAGAATGTTTACAGGAGGCCAGCTTCACTATAAACTTAATTACCAGAGTTGTTTAATTCCTCGGGTAGGTTTTGCCTTGTGTTACCAGTTTGCCAGACATCTGAAATGCTTAATATTAGAATATATTAAATGTTTAAAGGAAATTTGAAATGTTTATAGTTATTTATTTAGGTTTTTAAATTGATTTGACAGCTTAAGGGAAATTTGGTTGGCCAGTCTTAAGTAGATTACACATTAATCAAAAGAAATATATTTTTTAATGAGGAGGTAGGATATGGTTGATCTGGATGATTAGATCTCTCCTTGCCCAACTCAGTAACTTCATTTCTAAAGCTCATCATTTCTCCCAAACATATAATGGTGTTTCGTCCTCATTTACAGCAGCATTTATTATAACACTGGGGAATACCAAGGGAGAACAAGACAAAGTTCCTAAACTCATTGACTTCTATTACAGAAGAGATGGGCAAATTTAAAAAAGCAACCAAATAAGTAATTCCAAGGAGTGATAAAGCCATAAGGTTCGAAAAAAATATAAAGGCTAGGGATAATAAATAAATAATATATAAATAAAGAATATTTAGGGATAATAGGGATAATAAATAAATAATAAAGAAAGAAAGAAAGGTGTTATTAGAAATATCGTCTAAGGCTTCTCTGAGGTAATGATATTTAATCAGAGATTTGAAGGAAGTAAGGGAAAGAGAACTCCTGATTTTTTTCCCCTAGCCTAGTAAAGGCTTTGAAGCAGGCACAAGCTTTTTGAGTTTATGGTACAAGGAGGCCACTGTGGACCAAAAAAGAAAAAAAAAAAAAAAAAGGTAAAAATAGGTCAGAAAGACAGATGAGGGCAGATCATAACGAACTTAAGGATCGCAGTACAGAATTTGGATTTTATTATAAATGTGACAGGAAGGCATCAAAGCATGCCACCCAGCCTACTTAGGCTACTTTTTTCTCCCTGGTTAGCTGGTTAACTTCAATTTGTCTTTCAAAATCTAGCATCCTCTCCCGTAGGACATATACGGTAACTCCCTGACTCCCAAAGAAGGTCCATCACTTCCTCCTGTGTGCTATTTCAGAGCCATAATAGAGGACTACTGGTCGCCTTTCACACCTCTGGGGGGGAACCTAGGCTGTGGATTTTTTCACAGAACTGTGTTTCGGTTCCCCACCCCCATCTCTGTAGCCCCCGAGTGTGACACAGCAGCGGGTGCTAACTAATGGTTGGGTAAAGGAAAAACTAACCCACTCAGTGGCTCAAGCCTCAACTCCTTCCAGCCACTTGGGGTGCGGTACCCCGGAGGCGCGTTGGAATTGTTGCCCTGGGAGGCTGCGTGCAGCGTTCCCCCGCCCTCTGCTACCAGAGGAAGGTTTGCGTTTCAAGGATACTCCACTGGCCAAGAATGCCTCTCGGGAAACCTAACGTCCCCACTGTCAGGTGCCTGCTCTCTCCCGTTTGCGCACCTTTGCTTGTCCTTTTTGGGACCTGGGGTGGGACTGGGTTGGTGGGGGGCGGCGGGGACCTCTGGGCTTCCCAGCTCCGCGCCCGAGCACTCCCCGCAAACGCTCCTATGGCCTAGTCACGCACCCGACTGCCCTCTCCTCCTTAACATCGGAAGTCACCGCAGCAAAGCCCACTGGCACACAGCATCCGCGTCGCCCCTCCGTGCGTCTAGTGTACATCCCCTCATTCCGCCGTCTCTTTCCACGGCTCCCCGCCCCGCTCACCTAATATGCGGGTGATCCCCAGGGTCAGCTTCTCCAGGTGCGGCTTGCTGCAGCCCGGGGGCGGTGTCTCCTCCATGGCTCGCGTCCCCGCTCCGCGCGCGGCGGGCGCAGCGACGGGGACCGGGCGAGAGAGCGGGGCGGGCGGGAGGGCTGGACGCCGCCCCAGAGGCTCGGCCATCGAGTTCACGGCATGCCGGGAATTGTAGTGCTTGGTGCCTGAGAGCGCTGCGGGGCGGAGATGGGAGGCCCGGGCTGCTCTGGGAGTAGTAGTTCCGCGGCACACTTGTTCCCTCTGCCCGGGCGGTCGCTCCACACTACGCCACCGAGACACAGCGACTCGTCCACTGGGACCCTACCGCCCCGCCCCGGCAGACCGCGCAAGCGGGGGCGGGCCTCTACGCGGTGCGGCCAATGGGGACTGGGCCTGAAGGCCGGGGCAGAGCGGCCCCGGCGCGACGCCCGGAGTGGCGGTTGTTTCAAGATGGCGGACGTGGCGGGCCCCTCCCGCCGGGGAGCGACGGCGTTCTGGAGTCGGGACTGTATCCTTTGCCCGCCTGGCAGGGGGCGCCGGCGCCCTCCCCCGTGCGGCGAGCGGCGGGCGGTCGCGTGAGACTCTGAGTGGGGGGGCGAAGCTCGATGCTGTCCCCGGGGGCGGGGCCGTCCTTTCCGGCCGCCGTGTAGGTGCCGGGCTTTTCCCTGGCTGGGGTGTTAGGTAGCAGAGAGCCTGATTCTGTCTCCCGGCTGGAGCACTAGGTTTGGGGACTCAGCACTGATGTTTCCCGGCCCTCCTTGGCGGTGAGATTTGGAAAGATGGCCTAGAATCGTGACCCTGCGGGGGGCTGGGAGGGTCCCTCTGACCGTGGTGACCTCAGGCAGGCTGAGTCTCTGAGGAGGGTAGGGTGTTGACTGGACAGGGAGCCTTTTTGTCTCGATTTAGGACTGTCCTTGGTTTGCGTGGTTAGGAGCGAGTCAGGACCTTTTCGGACTTCGAAGGCCTGTCTGTGATGATTTACTTTCATGCTGGGATTTTCGGAGAGGTGTGGGGCTGACCGTAGTCCGGTGATGCTGGTTACGGAATAAAAAGCGTTGCAAATCCTTGCTGCTGGAAGTAGTGTTGATTTACAGGTGGACTGTGGGTCACCACTGGCAGAATTGAAGTTCTGGGATTGTATTGGGGGGTGGAGAAGCTGTGGAGCTTTTTATGCTTGTGGTGGTGTTCCCAGTTCAGTAACTGTGTTGAGATGTGTGACAGAACTGGTTCGTTCTCTGGTTCAGGTTGTCCCAGCCTGCTCTTTTCCTGGTAAGTTACATCACTTTCGTTAGAGGAGTGTTACGTGAAGGAGGGCAGTCCGTGTACTGCGTGCGTGCAGAGCAAGTCTTGTCTGTTTGCTAGGATTGATGATAGCATATTTGAGGCATTGCTCTTAACTTTGGCAGAATCATTCTCTGCACACGCTACTTAGCTCCCAGTGAAACTTACAAAATTGTATTCTCAGTTTTCCTTTTTGAGTTGCAGTACTAGGATTACAGTGTCATGTGGAGGGAGGGATATTTTTGCATTCCTTGCTGCTCAATGTTTAGTATTAGGCACTTTCTAAACATAATTACCATTTGTCTCTGATAGGTGGGTGATGGTCAAGTAAAAATCATGCACATAGACTGTGGATGAAAACACTAGTGCACTGTGCACATTAAATATCTTTTTCCTTATATATCAGGAAGGACGCAAAGAGAGTATGTGCATTGGGAATTGGGCTGAATTAGGAAATAAGGAAATTGGGATGAGTCTTCTCATGAAATCCTGTGCTTCCAATCATAGAATTTTGTGATAGAGGAAATATTTGAAGGTTATCAGCTTATAAAGTGCTTTTGTAGTGTAATCATTTTCATAACCACCTATTGGTTTGGTTATTAGTCCTTAACTTTATCTGTGACCAGTGGAATTGTTCTGATAGGTATAAATGGGGAGGTGGGCAGTGTATTACTGTGGCATGGATTAAGTTAATAGGTAAATAAACTGAACCTGTGCACTTGGTCGAAGCAGCCCTTTATGCTCACTTATTCATATGGTCATGTTATTTCTCATTTCGCATAGAAGGCCTACATCCTGTCTTTTCTCTTACATTCTCCCTTACTTTGAAAATTAATGTGAAATACTCATCTTCCCATTGAAAGTGAGGAGTTGAAATTATATGGGGGAAATGGTGGTGATTACATTGATAGAAATTCCGATTTGAAATAAATTGCAAGGTTACTAGTATTACCTATTTCCCCCACCTATTCCACATAATGACCAATTATCATCCAGCCTCAGGTATTTTCATTTGAAATGTCCGTAGGACACAAAAGCAAGGTCAAATGTAAATTTGCTATTGAATCTTTTCTAAAAAAGCATAAGGATAGTTATGAATCATTGGGTTTAATCATGTGTCTCTGGATCTGGATCTCTTTTTCTGTTACACGGATGACTTCCTAGACCACCCCGTAGCCTTTATATAGAACTTTCAATAGTAAAAGACCAGAAAGTATGTGCGTAGAATCAGGTATTCCTTTCACGCTATTGAAAGACAGATTTTCAGTGCTTTGCCTAAGCAATTAGAGAAATGTGATTGAGTTATTTCCCAGTCCTAGGTGTTTCTGTCATGTGAGGACAGATCATCTGTGACTAAACATCTTTTTTTACTGTTGTCTTAATGAGTTATGCATTGCCTGCACAGTATGATTCAGCAGTGCTTTTTTGCACAAGGTGTATTTTTATACCTTATATGTAAACAAATGAGTATGCCATTTTGTCATTTTATGGTTAAATCTTCAAGTAAAATATGCCCCTTCAGCCATAAACTGCTTTCTTACTTCATTGTAGCTCCTGGTAATATGAAAAGAAATTAGTGTTTCTGCAGTATCTGTAGTTGATTGGGTAAATACACCCCAGCTTATTAACATTAACAGTATTTTTAAATTGATATTAACAAATATGAATTATAAGGGATTTGGTCAAAACATCATAGTAGCTATAATCCATGCCATTGAATATTCAATTAAAAATAGAATCTTTATGTTGATGTTAAAATAGTATACTAGCCAGGAAGGTTACTTAGGTCAGTAATGATTACATATACATGTGTTGCTGGTATGTGATTGAAACTCAGAAGGTTAGAGTGTGCAGTTCTAAGTTTTTTATTTTCTTCAGCTCTTCATGATCTGGAGTAGATATGATTCTTCCTCTCTATTGCTTCTACCTTGGATTTCTAATTACTGCTTTAATTCTGGGGATTTGGAGATTGGTACCAGCATCAAGGATGCTTTATAATTTGCTTGTACTTGTCTTAGTAAAGAACTTCCAAAAATACCAAAGTAGAACTGAGGGGGCACCAAGAACCCAATGAGAGGTCCAATATATACATTTGGTATATATTATGTCTCTGACTGTCCCATAAAATATGTTTGTATATTTTTTAAACTTTGTATTTGAAGAAAGTAAATATTTGGGTTTTTCAGATAGTGAGATGAATATAAATTACAAATGATTAGAAAGGATGGGTTGGATGGAGGCAATTTCAATATTTTTAGGCTTATTTTTTTAAACTTTTGTTAAGGTCATTTATTTAGTATTTTTATATTTGAAAAGATTCTTAGCATGAATGTAGCTCATGAGTTTTGCCCTTGTATTTTGAAATGTTCCTCTACCCTTCAAGGAACTTCTCACTGGTCTAAGAATTAAAATGACATGGGACAGATTAAGAGGAGAAAAATCAAACTTAATTAGGTACATATGGCAAATCCACATATATGTGAGAGATTCCAAAGAGAAGCAAAATGAGTTATGCTTGTCATTCCGAACAAAGGAGTCGGGAGTAGGGGTCTGGGACTTTCAAGGAAAGGAAAGCCAATTCATAGGAAGATTAAAAGGAATAAATGTTTGGTAAACAAATGTTTTCTGGGCCATATGGAAACAATGGGACATAGAGACAAATTTTAACAAATATACTTTGCTAAATTCCTCCCTACCACCTCTTGTTTCTATTATACTATAGTTAGTTATATATTTCCCTTCTTGGGAGCAGGCCCTCTATCCAAATTCTTGTAGGCAATTCGTGGGGAGGTCAGAGTTACTTCATGAGTCTTTTGGGCCTTGATTGTTTTCAAAACTCAAAACAATCCACATTCCAAAGTGGCACATCTTGGGGTGATGGGTTGTGAACCCCAGCAAGATAAAGAGAGACAACACCAAAGAGTTGCTGGACAGTACCTCATAAAATTAAATATCACTTTCATTCTTTCAAAGATGGTCGACTATGAGCCTGTTATTTTTTGACGTTAGTCGATAATAAACATTGAACAAAACCAGTGGAAAATCCTCACCCACCTGGTGCTTACATTTTAGTGAGATGAGTTGAGGCTGTGAATAAGTAAAATGTGTTGTGTGTCCAGTGATTATTGGTGATATGAAGAAAAAGCAGGAAAAGGGTAGCCATCATGGGGATCTTTGTGTCTTCTTTTATGCCAGTACCATATGGTTAGAAATTAGGAAGTGTGATGCTTTACCTTATTCTTAAGATTGTCTTGGCTATTTGGGTTCTTTTGTGGTTCTGTACAAATTTTAGCACTGTTCTATTTCTGTGAAAAATTGCATTGGACTTTTGATAGAGGTTGCACTGAATCTGTAGATTGCTTTGGGCAGTATAGACATTTTAACAATATTAATTATTCCAGTTTATAAGCACAGAATATCTTTCTATTTGTGTCTTCAGTTTCTTTCATCAATGTCTTAAAGTTTTCAATGTATAGGTCTTTCACCTTCTTGGTTAAATTTATTTCTAGGTATTCTTTTTTGATGCAATTGTAAATGGGATTGTTTTCTTTTTTTTTAAGATTTTATTTATTTTATTTGACAGACAGAGATCACAAGTAGGCAGAGAGGCAGGCAGAGAGAGAGAGGAGGAAGCAGGCTCCCTGCTGAGCAGAGAGTCTGATGTGGGGTCCATCCCAGGACCCTGGGATCCTGACCTGAGTCGAAGGCAGAGGCTTTAACCCACTGAGCCACCCAGGCGCCCCGGGATTGTTTTCTTAATTTCACTTTCTGTTATTCATGTATAGAAACACAACAGATTTTTGTATATTGATTTTGTATCTGCAGCTTGGCTGAATTCATTTATTCCAATGGTTTTTTGGTAAAGTCTTTAGCATTTTCTATATGTGATATTATGTCATCTGCAACTAAAGCTTATGAAAGATCTCTACAGTTTGTTTCTCTTAGATAAGTGGCAAAGTAGTATCAGAAAGTATAAAATACTTGATGAGTTTCTTGGGGCACCTGGGTGGTGCAGTCGGTTAAGCATCTGACTCTTGGTTTCAGCTCAGGTTGTTTTCTCAGGGTCCTGAGATGGAGTCCCACATATGGCTGTGCAGAGTCAGCTTGGACTGTCTCTCCCTTTACCCCTGTGCCTCATCCCTGCTCCCCTTCTCCCTCTCTCTCTCAAATAAAAAATAAATCTTTTAAAAAATAAAATACCTGATGAGCTTCCAAATCTAGGTGCAGCTAAGTTGGGTTCTCAGTGGCTGCTCTGTTCCAGCTGTGAGCAGTCTTCTTTTTGACTATTCTAGGCAAGTGTACTATGTTTCCCAGGATTCAGTTATGTTAGTCTTTCCATAAGTCAACTTTGGAGACTATTCTGCGAGTTCATCACTGCTGTATCCTCTAATCGAGGATGCTGCCAAATGGAGATTGTCCCGAATCATCTTGAATTTTTTCCCCCTTGGGTAACTTTTCCCATGTCTATATCTCCAACAGTAAATATTTAAATATTTATTGAGCACCTACTATGTTTGCTGGTCCCAGGGATATAAAAAATGGCTTGATGTTTGCTGTTAAAGAGCCTGCACAATTTCATTTTGTATGTTTTTTTTTTTTTAGATTGCGTGCCAGTGAATTTATAAATTCTCTCTCCTCCAGTGTTACCTGCTATCAGTGTCCTTGGACTAGTGGGGTCTAATTTTTGTTTGTTTGCTTACTTGTCTTATGTGCCTCTTAAAGCTTTCTAAACTCCATGCCTGATGTCTGAGTGTATTTAAAGTTTAGGAGTACTACTTAACAGCCAAAATCCTGAATCTGTGATAGTAGGTGTACTGCTGCAGAGGGCTATTAGAAATCACCTGGTGACTCAGACAGTAGCACCATTTTTTTATTCCTAAATTCTTAGATGGATTCTAGGTGTTTATAATCAGCACTCTTTGTAAAGATTCCATAGCTACGGTTGGTCCTGAACTGAAATATATTGACTTTTGGAACATGTTATTAAATCTGTTTTACTCTAGCCTTTACCTGGAAGGGAATTTTTAATAAATTTGTCTAGAAATTTTGGAAAAGAAAGCGTTTTATAAAAGAACAGAAAATTGGAATTTTCTAAGTCATTTGGAAAAATTTGTTTAGACACTTACTTCCTCGAAATGTAATAGAATGTTATCAAATTGTGGATGTATCTGGATTTAGAGTTCTGAATAAAATTTTTTTTCTGAAAGGAAAACTTTCTTATAATGGTTCTTCTTCTATAACAGTGGTATGATCTTAGCGTTTCTAAATTTCTCCTATTGAAATTCAAAATAGCTCTTTTTGTCTTATATTTCTTCCACTTGTTGGGGGGCTTGAGTGGATCCGCCCGTTAAGCCTCCTACTCTTGATTTCCTCTCAGATCATAACCTCAGGGTTGTGAGATCAAGCCACACTTTGGGCTCCACGATGGGCAGGGAGCTTGCTTAAGATTCTCTCTCTCTCCCTCTTCCCTCTTTAAAAAAAAAAAATTATATTTCTTCCACTTTTTAAATAGTAGGGCTTCTTGGGATATTTCATGAATGCACTGCAGAAGAATAAAATCTTTGTATTTCCCTGATTGACTTGCCCTCAAAGAGGGTTTGTTCTTCAAAGCTAAAGCTCATTTTGAAATTATTTATTCATCTCTAAAATAACTCACCAGTTTTCCAATATTAAACAAACTGGAGCATTTAACTCCCTGTTTACAAAAGGAGAGGAAATGAAAGGAACTTAACAGAATTTATAGGGCAGGGTATCTAATTTGGGAATAGGCGTGGATGAAAGTTTTATGGAACAAGGACTTTCAAAAATTTTGTAAAACATAGTTATGATTATGTAAAGATGAATTTTATTTTATTTTTTTTTAAGATTTTATTTATTTATTTGACAGAGAGAGACCACAAGTAGACAGAGAGGCAGGCAGAGAAGAGAGCCCGATGCGGGACTCGATCCCAGGACCCTGAGATCATGACCTGAGCCGAAGGCAGCAGCTTAACCCACTGAGCCACCCAGGCGCCCAAGATGAATTTTAAAAGATTACTAATTTTGTTTCATTTATTTCACTTGCATTCCTTTCTAGTTTTGTTTTTGAAGTTTGTTATAAATTCCCAGATCAAAAGAAATTAGGAAAGTACAGAATAGAGGCAGCGTTTGGATGATCTTTTCTAGTATTTTCCTTCATGTCCTTCTTCATAGTTTCTGATGAAGAACAATCAGTAGTATATGTTCCAGGTATGATTTTCTGTATTAATTTGGTAAGCTTCCTTTGCTTCTTAAGTGTTACGAGAAAATAAAACAGTAGGACCACTTTGTAGATATAACTGTATGCAGAACAATCCATTGGAAACTAATTTTTTTTTTTTTTTTTTTAATATGTGGTTAGACGTTACTAAGGTTTGAAATACTGCCTTATTTTAGGATTTTAGGGGCTGGTTGGGCAAGTCAGCTTTTGATTAATTTGTAGAACATTTTATTTATCTATTAAAGAGCAAGAGATTCTATTTTTTATATTACAAATAATATCCTAAATTCAAAGAAAAATGTGAGAACTTCTTGATATAAGGTTTATGTGATAGACTCTTTTAAACCTTACTGACTGTTACTAAACCAACAGTAAAACTGAGCCATTGAAGGTACCCTAATTATGTGAGAAATCAGATTTTTAATCTCCCCTATATTAAGGTATATATTATATGTTGTAATTTATCAGTTTTAATGTGACTTATGAATTTTCATTATCATTTTTAAAAAATATTTCAATTGAATTTTAAATGTATTCAGAACATAATCTTTTCATGATTCATTATTTACTAAGAGTTTTAAAATGAGGTTTATAAAGTGGGAGTTTTCCCCGTCAGGTCCCATAAAGAGGTATATCAGAGAAGAGCTTCATGGGGGTAAGTTTAAGAGAATAAAGTATAATTTTGATATTTTGTTTGATGGAAATCCTTAGGAATTTCTGCAGAAGGAAATACCAGATCAAGACACAAGTTAAGTCCAAAAGCTGATGTTAAACTTCCGACTTCCAGGGTTAATGCCGCTTCAATCTCCATGGAGTCTTTAAAAGGTGCAGGAGATTCAGTAGATGAACAGGTCAGTAATTTCCCTTTTTTTCCTCTGATCTCCAGTCTTTATAAATGCAGACCAATAAGTGATTTTTCTATGCTGACCAGTTACCGGTAGAAAAGGGCAGAAGAGTCTTTGAAAGAACTTTAGATAATCTACAAGCGATCTTAAAAGGTACAGAGGATCCTAGGATACTTTACATGATATGAATATAAAGTATGTAGATTACTCAGAGGTTTTGCTCTAAAATGTCTAGGCTTGCCTTAAGCCTTAGTTAAGAAAAATTTATTACCTTAGTGTGTCCCAAAAGACCCACATGGTGATCTCTGTCAAGTTAGTAAATCAAATTGACCACCGTTTCTTCTTTTATTAAGTGCGCTTTATAATTTTTGTTCTTGTGGATTTGTTAGATGATGATAAACCTCTATATATAAGAAAGAAACTTTGTTAAAATTCCCTTGCATTATTATTATTTCCTTCACTTCAAAAATATTATAAAGACTCTTTATAGCCCAGTCATTGATTTCTCCTTCATCTTTGCCTTTGTATTAGTATCTATACATTCCTTTGCTACGTGTCCTTATCTGATAGGTTGATTTTACTTTACTTTTTGTTAAGGTTAAGTTAGGGTTTGACAATCTATGATCTATAGGCCCAGTTTCTTTGCTGCCTATTTTGTGAATAAAGTTTTATTGCAACATAGTCTTGCTTATTCTTTTAATATTATTGGTGCTTTTCTGTTCTAATGGTAGAGTTGCTACCATAGTGCTATTGGTCCACAAAGCCATTTTTGCTACCATAGTGCTATTGGTCCACAAAGTATTTACTATTTAATACTATAGAGAATGTTTTTCCTTGTGCTGGTTTATGTTCTTGAGGACATTTCCAATATCTAGTTTGTTACTGATTGTTATGTTTAGTAGTCTATGGGATTTAACTGTGACTTACCCAAAAGGCCTACTTTGTTACTTGGATTTCCATTGTACCCACTTATGTCCCCCTGGGACGTAAATAGTAGTTGAATTTGCAAGATCTTATCAAAATTGCAAGTGTTTTTCATAAAATAGTTTGTGCATTTTATATTGAACAATGTAATATATATGGCCTTCTTTTGGATTAAGTCCATATTTTTTTATGATTCTATTGGGTCATTAACTATAATTCTTTGTTGGGCTATTTTCACTACCTTTGAGAATTATAGTATACATCTTTAACTTATCACAGCCTATTTTAACTTATATTTTCCACTTTAACTGTGATTTTGGGGACCTTTCAACAGTTTGTGTCTTGACTTTTGTGATATTGTCATACGTTTTACTTCTATAAGTAAATTTCCAATACATTATTACTTTTGCTTCAACACTTTTTTTCAGATTTACCTATAATTTGCATATCAAAAAACTTACCCTTTTAAAATGTATAATTCATTTTTTTTGTATATTCACAGAGTTGTGGATCCATCACCACAATCTAATTCCAGAACATTTTCATGACTCTAGAAAGAAACTCCATATGCATTAGCAGTCACTTGACATTTTCTATTCATCTCAGCCCCTAGCAACCACTAATCGACTTTTTAGTCTATATAGATTGATCTATTCTGGGCATTTCGTGAAAATGGAATCCTGTAATATGTGGCCTTTTGTGGCTGGCTTCTTTCATTTAGCATAATGATTTTAAGGTTTATGTGATATCATGTATTATTACTTCATTACTTTTTATGGCTGAGTATATATTTATCCATTCACCAGTTGAAGGACTTTGGGTTGTTAGGCTTTTTGGCTACATAAATAATGTTGCTATGAACTTTCACATACAAGTTTTTGTGTGGATATATGTTTTCAGTTCTGTTGGGTATTTGCCTAGAAGTAGAATTGCTGGGTCATGTAGTAATTCTGTTTAAGCTTTTGATGAACTGCCAAAATGACTATACCAATTTACATATTACCAGCAGTATTATGAATGAGGATTCCAGTTTCTCCACATTCTCGCCAACACTTTATATCTACCCTTTTCATTATAACCATCCTAGTCAGTATAAAATGGTATCTCACTGTGATTTTGATTTATATTTCCCTAATGACTAATAATAATCATTTCTTTATGTGCTTCTTGGCCATTTATATTTGTTCTTCAGAGAAATGTCAATTCAGATGCTTTTCAGTTGAATGATTTGTTTTCTTACTGATAAAGTTTAAAGTTCTTTATACATTGCATCTTCAGGTCCCTTATATATGATCTGCAGAGTTTCTTTCATCAATGCATTGTCTTTCACTTTCTTATTGATGTCCTTAGAAGTATGAGAGTTTTAATTTCGAAGTCCAGTTTATCAATTTTTTTCAGTTGTTACCTGTGCTGTGCTGTCATATTTAAAAAATCATTGCCTAATTCAAGTTCTTAAAGATTTACACTAATATTTTCTTCTAAGAGTTTTATAGTTTTAGGTATTACATTTAGTCTTTGATCCATTTTGGTTTAATTTTTGTTGTGTGCTGACTCAAATTCATACACTAATATTTTCTCCCAAGAGTTTTATAGTTTTAGGTATTACATTTAGTCTTTGATCCATTTTG